AGAAAAAAACCAAGAACAACCCGATAATTGAGCCTGAGAATACTTACTTAAAAATAAAATAGAATTTGCTCTCAAATTTGAACCAGCTTCCAAGATTTTTTATGAATTGATTTTCCAAAAAACTGAAAACCAAGTTAGTTATCTCAAAACTCAATTACGAGATATCCAAAGTCAATTAACTCACCAAGAACGGATATTCGCTCGCATTGAAATCCGTCGTCAAGGTCGTGAACTTTTAACTTGCGAATATAAAAAATCTATTGGCTGTTTAGGAATTTGAAGGTGCGATAATTGTAAGACTAATTACTCCGCTGACAATAACCAAGCAATCGAAATTACCAAATAATATGGCAAGTATCGAATTAAAATTTCAAGGAACTTTTAATAAGTCTGATTATTTAAGAGAATTTTCCTGTGGTAGTTGTCAGCAGTATCTTACAGAGCAGGATATTTCCATTGGTAATTATCGCCTTTATGTGAGCGATTATGCTAACGAAGTTGATAAGGAGGAATATTTCTCCACTCGTTTAGGTCGTCATCTAACCACCTACGGCTTAAACTTCTGATTAAAAGCAGTCGAACACTTGGAATGTTTGGAGGAGGGGGGTTAACCTCTCCTCTTCCCCCCCCTTTTCGCACATCTTCGTTTGTGCTTAATTTCCTTACTTACTTTTATTATTAGAGAGGTAAAAAACTAAACTTCCTTTCTAACTGACTGGCTATTTTCAGTAATTTTCACTTCAAAGGGAACATGTAATTTCTCTAAATAGTTCGCTAACTCATTTAACCGAAAACCTTTTATTTTACCTAACAAAATATCATAAGTTTTAGTCAGAGAAGTTTCCATTTTTTTAGCCACTTCCTCCACTGGTAAATTATTTTCTTGCTGATAAACTAAAATAGCCTGGCAGACTTGATATTTTAATTTCTCTTCACCCGAAGCACTAGGCGACAAAATTTTATTTTTATAAGGGTAATTCGGACTACTAGTTTTTTCCCTTATCTCCTTTAATTCCGCTTCGCTGGGGAAAGCATAATTTTCTTTTTTTTCCATGATAAGTATTAATATCTAATTTTAATAACAATTAACTATCCCAATATACTTTTTACTTGCTTTTTTTCAGCACCAAACTAAACAATAACTTTCATTACCATGTTGAATATCCTCGATGGTAAAATACTGATAAGCACTTTCTCTTTTGGGTGGGTCAGGAAAAAAGATTCCGTTATTTAATTGCTGAACTAGTTCTCAAATTAATTCATCATTGACATAACTGCCATGACCTTCCTCATAGTGAGGGTCAATAATTAGTCTAGTTAATTTTTGCTTATTAATCACTAAATCGCAAGAGTAAACTCGTCGACCTTCGGGAGTGGTGGTAATTAAGGGTGGCAAGGACATTTGTTGCTTAACTAAATTTTTTATCTACTTTCTAGTTCTCTTACTCCTTGGTTGAATAAGAAATTATTCACTTTATTGATTGTTTTATTTCTTCCGAAATGATAAATAGGTTTCTTATTAATTATTAAATAAATTGCTTTTTTCTTTTTCCCTTGTTTATCCAGTAAAAAAAGTCAGACCCTACCTCTTGTTTTTTTGATTTTTATGTCATAATTTTCATGCGGATAAACTCAAAAAGGATTGTTCCTTTCATCTTTTCCTTTGTGATTAGCAGTGTGTTGTGTTTTACAAGAGGAGCATTTTATTGTTTCTTTTTCTTCATAAAAAATTATTTTTCCTATATTATCAAATTCTTTTGTCTCTATAATACTTCCTATTCCTGATGTATTTATTCCTTTAAGATGAGAATTTGATCCGCCAATCATGTATCCTTGGTAAAAAATTCTTTTATCTTTTCCATTCTCTAAATCTCATAAAAAAAATAACCTATCCCTAATTATATCTTTTAAATTACTTAGTCATATTTCATCATGTAAAATTGAGTCGGGATATATTTCTAGGTTTTTTGTTGTCCATTCTTGGCAGTTGTAGACTACTTCTTTTAATTCAAGCAGTTTTTTTTCATCAAGGTAGTTAAAAAATTGGGTATCGCTGAAATCTTCACTTTTCCCAAAATCAAATGTTAAATTATAAGGATTGTTTTCTATTTCTTCAATAAGTTCCCCATCTCGGGTAGTATTTTTATTTGTTTTTCGAACTTATTTTACAGTGTATTAATTAATGAGTGTTGAAAAAACCAAATAAATTTATTCCCGACCCTTTGCTAACTTTAATTCTGACCTTTCTGACAATTATTTGGTTTCTTTGGGGAGGATTAAGAACATTTTTGTCCTCTTTTTAGATTTATTCCCCACCTAAGGGGCAATTAAGGGAGGATTAACCAGCTTCCTTCTTTCCCAAAAAAACATTTATATACTCACATGTACACCTTAAAACCACCTTTAAAAACCAGCTGCTTTAAATGCCAAAAAAAGTTGGTAGTTAATTTTTCTCCCCCCCTGCAACGTTATAGCAACAAAAACCATTGGGGCTATTGAACCGACCAAAAGAAAAACCAAGACCAATACATGTGTGATACTTGCTTAATTGACCTCTATCGCAATCACAAACACAATTATTTAGACTCCATCACCGACAGCAAAAAAAGACGTACCTTCCGGGATTACTTTGGTGGTAGTTTTCCACTAACTAGAACTCAACAAAAACTACTAAAAAAAGGTGACGGCAAACTCCACGACATATTAAGAAGCAAAGGGATTGACCTGGACAAAGAAGGACTAACTGATCACTTTAAAAGTTGACAACAAACCATTGCAAAATTGGTGCAAGAAAATACTCTTAAAGACAAAAAAATCCAAGAATTAGAAAAAAAACTTACTAAAAAAGAGAAAAAAAAGTAGAAAGCTCTCTGAAAAATCAGTGTCTTTGATTCTTTTTTAAGCAGATGTGTTAACAGTTCTGTATAAAATAAATTATATAGATGTTGATGTGCTAAACTGGAAAGATTGAAAAAACAGTCGCTAATCTGTTAAAAATTAGCAAATTCAAATAAATATCAAGAAAATAATATGAAAATAAATAATAATAAAATTAAATCATTGTTTTTGTTGAGTTTAGTTGGTTCTGGCTTAGCAAAAGAAGAAAATGCAAAGAACCAAACTGAAATTTTATCCGATGGGATAAATCTTAATTCGCTACCACAAATGGCAACTAATCTTACTAAAAGAGAAAATGATCCTGATAAAACTTTAATTTTTGCGGGATATCCAATATCTTTGGGTGTTGGTACAGTTGGTGGAAACTTTAACCGTTACTGTACAGCGAGTTTTATAATTGAAAATAGTGATTCACATCAAGCTGTAATTTCGACGTTTTGTATGCCAGATGAACATTGTGCTGGTACTATGAATAAGTATGTTGTTAGTTGGGATGGTTTAATTAATTTAGGTTCCGCCCCCCTTTATTTTACTATTGGAGATAACTCATTACATGATTATACAACTATAGAGTATAATTTAGATAATGTGGAACCTATTCCCTATGTTGTGGGAGATAATAATCATTTTTATCCAGTCGTTGGTTATGCCCAGCTACCTGCGGTTGGAGATAAAGCGTGTGCTTATGGAGCAGTAAGTGGTTACCTTTGCGGTAAATTTTCTCAACAACCTCTTGATTCCTACCTAACTATTCCTGAACCTTGTAGTAAAGTGAATATGAATGATCAGACTCTAAATACTAAAATTGTTGCTCCGTTATTAGCAGTAGAACTAGGGGTAAATGGTTTTTATGCTCAAGAAGATATCGGTGGTCCAGTTTATACAGTAAGTAATATTGGAGATCAAACTGTTGCTTGAGTTTTAGGTCATATTACCTATTTTGATAATAGCAATCCTAATGATAAAATACTTTATTTTACGCCAATAAATGATACTTTGAAGATGTTACTTGCCGATTATGGTTTGTCCTTTGATTTAATGACCCATAATGAAGACAATGCTGAAAAATATGACCAATTACTAGCCCAAATTGAAATTCCAACTAAAAAATAACATTTTTATAATATCTTATGAATAACTTACTTAAAATCTTTTTAATATTTAATCTTTTTTCTGCAACTGCTTCCTCAGTCAATAATTCCTCAATTCCGC